ATAATAATAATAATAATAATAATAATAATAATAATAATAATAATAATAATAATAATGATGATAATAATAATAATAAATTCTTTAATATTTCATTTTTTATTATGTATTAATTTATCTTCCAAGTATAAAAATAACTTCTTATTAATTCTTCTCCCAATTAAAATTGACAAATTTGTTTTAGAATAATGCTATTTTCGATTCTCCAATATCTTATTTTTCGTTTAACGTACAAATGTTTGTTGATTAAATTAAATATTATGAATATCTAATTTATTAAGTTTATTCTTATTATAATGCTAAAGAATTATCAATTTTTAGAAATCTTGAATTATATCGAATACTTTTATAGCACGAAGTTTTTTTCATTCATTATTTTTATATATTTCAATTGATTTAATTATGCTTCTACTGTTAAAATATATTGCCGAAGTAATAAATACATTTAGTTTCTTTCTATTTGTATGGCTACATAGAAATTAATAAAAACCTGTGTATAAATTCGCCATTCAAATAAAAAGAATTTGTCACATGGTTCCCAAAAATTTTTCATCGAAATTTGCTTCTTAATAACACAGACACGCAAACATCGGCGTCTGCAAACGAAAACGTGTATATAGGTTTAGTGTATTTAATTTGATTAAATTACTATTAATTTAAGCTATCTCTGTATTGATTGTGAACGTTTCATATTACAAATGAGAAGTACTGGACGGAAGGAAGAGAGAAATACAATAAAGGTTAGAAAAATATAATAAGAGAAGTAGTGTGTGGACAAAACAAATTATTTTAATTTAATGTTAACGCGATAATCTTTTTATGACTTATTATTTAACATGTAATAAATTCTATTATAATTTTATTAACAATTTTGAATATTTAATGTTCATATTTACGATGCCTAACATATCTATGATAGGATTCATTTTGTATTCGTTTTTGTACACACACGCGCGCACGTGCACACATATACAGAGCAGGGGTGAGTATGTTTATTTCTTTACTTATTTTTCGTTTGAGTTAGCGTACGTATGCGGAAGAAAATGGCAAGAGGAATGATCAAGAGTCAAATCACTTGACCAATATCTTTTTCGTTCTTTAAGAAGAGACTCTTGAAATTGAGAGTACTGCAACATGACTTCGAGAGTCGATAAAATTATTATTATCAATTATAACATAGAGGTTAATCGACGGAAATACACGTATACAGTTAAGAATAATTCATTCTCTGTTTCTTTTTCTCTCGTTCTTATAAATCCTTCTATTAACATTTCTCCGAAAAACAACCAAATATGAACTATTGATTTTAATCGAGCGATGTACTTTACCATAGTGACAATGCGATGCTTCGTTAATGCACTTAAATACATACACAAGCGAATATGTAAAACGGGAATGAATGGCTGTGAGAGATGTGGAGAACGAATGAATAAGCAAGAGAGAACGAGAGTCGAAGAGTTGAAAATATAGAGTACACGTACAGCTTGTAACGCCGGTTTGAGTTGTAATCGATGATATTTAGAATTTACGGTCCGTTATTATACATTTGAATCAACTGGATAATTTAAATTCTATTAAAAAATATAAGAATTAATATAAGTAGCAATTTCATCAAAAGTTCTTACTGATTATTTTGGAAAATATTAGTGCTGATTTTGAATCCTAAATAACATTTGAAATTTAAAGATTATAAATAAAATAAACTTGTTATTTAAAGAACTATTTTGTATATTTATAATTAACATTAATATTATTTATGATTAACAGGGACGATAGGAAAGGCTTTAGATTAAGTTAGATTAGAAAATCAGACGATCAATTTACTCACTTAACGATTGACAATAATTTGTTGGTTTAGTGAAGTTTATTCATTTGAAAAGCAATGATCTTTGTCTACTAAAAAAGCACATTTTCTTTAAATTAAAACTTTTTCCACTTCTTTTTAATATTACATAATCGTACAGCTTTTTTTTAATGGACTTTTTATTTTTTATTCAAGTTTAAATATCGTAGTTTCATAAAAATTACCATCTAATAAGCTGATTCGTGTCGTACAACGCGTGTGCGTACGTGTGTTTATGCCTGTGTTAGCTAATAAGGTGCTATTATAATATCTTTGATTGAAACAAACTTTTCGTCTATTGTAAGAACATTAGTATTGTAAATCTTTTTCTAGGTCTAGTTCAACTACTATTTAGCAATTTTAAGATTATGAACAAAAATTTTTAAAAATTGTACTTATCGGCAAGACCAATAGTAAGAAAAGTAGTTTTACAGATTTAACAACCAAGTGCTACCAGTTCACTCTGATAATATACATATTTTACAGTCATACCGAAATGAGTATCGGTAAGTTCGAGCCGAGGTTCACTAACACACACACACACACACACACACACACACACCGATTGATCATGATTACGTACCGAACTTAGTGTCACGAGCGAACCAGCAGTTTCCATATCTATAAATCAATCTAAGTTATCGTGCGATTACGCGATAAAAAGATTCTCCCAATATTTAACAATTTCATAATTTATCGAACAATCGTGAATTCCAGTCATTAACAATCAGATTCATAACAATATTTTAATTTCCCCAATAAATTATGTTTGTTATCAAATTTATTAGAGTAGATTAAGATGATTTAATGTTAGAAAAATTATTTATTTGCTTTATTTGAACCTATGTTTTACGATAAATATCCGAATTCAAATTGCTAATGTCAGAAATTGAGATACTTTAAGTTTAAAATAATTGTTTAATAAATTTAATTATAATCTGTTAATAAATTTAATTATAAAACATGTAAAAGTTGTAGACACACACAATCTTCAAGGTATTGAAGCGTAATGAAGATCAATAATTTTAAATTGCATTAAGGAATTTTATTTTTAAATATTTTCTTATATTTTACATATCATGTGAAATTAGAGAAAGGCAATAGGAGTATATCTTGCAGAAATTTCTTTATATTGCAAATATCATGCTAATTATATATTTTAATACGTTTTGAGAATTTTATTTTAAGCCGCTAGGAAAATTCATTGTTGAATATAACATTTTAAAATTATATTTTAATTTATTATCTATAAATATTACCATACACTTATTTAAGCATAATTATATGCTATTCATGTAATACCTATAACTTTTTCTTTCTTTTCTTTTTTTTTTTTTTTTTTTTTATTAAAGAAGAAATTAATAATATCTTAAATAAAACAATGTTTATGATTACATCTGATAATCTTCATCAATTTTAATGATTTAATAATACATTATATAAATCAGTATAATGAGCGATAGATTTATGTAAGGTACGATTTGAAATCGATTATATTTGAATAAAAATTGCTCATCACGACGGCTGCATCATTGAAATTTATGTATATTCTTGCATAGTTGAATATAAATTATTTAATGAAATAGTTTAAAATATTTTTATCTTTATGTTAGGATTATTCTATTTATGTCATAAATATAAGCATACTGTAAAGACGCTGAAAACATTTATTGCACTGCTAAGCTCTTAAACCTAATGTAAATGTTATCGGGAAATATGAGAAGCGCCAGTAGCATAGAGAAATTAATATAAAAAAATCATAAAGAGTAGGGGATGCTTTATGTTATAGGATGTTCTATTAGATATTCCTTTGGAATAGTGGAATTCTGTATTTCGCCTTGCAAAGCTTTTATGCAACACGTATCATTTTAGTTAGTATGTGATATTACATTCTACATTATTTATAATTTTAGATATTATATTTATAATACATACATACACACCCGTATATATATATATATATATATATATATATATAAGTATAATGTAATTGAAATATAATTGAAATTTAATAACGCTCTAACAAAATTAATAGTCTATATACGTGCACTTCATGAATTTAACACTCAAGTATTAATTCATTATAAAGTAATTTAAAATTCTCTCTCTCTCTCTCTCTCTCTCTCTCTCTCTCATTTGATATATATATATATATATATATATGTACTATTACTATAGGAAATGCAACTTGATAAATTATTATTAAAGCTTCATATTTATTATATTTATCTATTATATAAATAAAAGACTATAAGTCTTACTTAATGTGGAAAAAATATTATATAATTTATTTGTATCCAAAAATAAATCTTTACATTTATGGCGTATACATACGCTTTATAAGTATGAAAATTATTTCAAATTAAAAAGAAAAAATAAACATTAAACTCAATATTTACTTAATTTTCAATACTAAAAATTAGTTAATTTTGAAATTCTTTATTTAAAAAATCTTTTATTATTTTATATATTATTCATATTATATATATTATTCATATCTATTAACTGCAAATTTTTATACATGTATGTATCAGTGATTGAACGTTTACAAAATTCTTCAAAATTTCTAATTAGAAACAAAATTTCAAAAAATTGATGATCGAATATAAAAAAAAAAGAAATGCGTTCTATAATTTACATGAAATTGATTAAGACTTAAATTACGTATAATTAAGAGTGATTGTGTTCGACAAAGTTCAATTATCTTCCTATTTAAATTGAAAACCAATGCGAGAAATTTTCCAATCTCTTTTAATGGCAGAAAATACTAGGAATTTCCTACGACCTTTATACTACTTTTTAAGATTATTTTCATAAAAATGCTTAGTGAAATAGGTTAATTTTATGGAAGAAACGATTAAATTAATTCAAGTTATATTTCAATCGGAATGAAAAAACATATTTTTTTTTAATAACAATAATTATTCAGTTATCGCAGTAAATTATATTTATTAATTCGAAAAGCCGCCTATATTATGAACGATATAATATTTTTATTAAAAATAAATCACAGCTGTATTTTCTCTTTGCACAAGTTACCTTATAAATAACAAGCCGTATAACGATAGTTTTTAAGTATTCTGTTAAAATTATATTGTCCACTAAATAATAATTATGTGGACCAAAATACTCTCTTAATCAGGAAAACATTACTACGCACCAACGACGAGCATATCCGAATGATCGGATACAGTTTGGAATGCTGGAGCTTCAGCCGAGACCTCACACCTGTATCGTCCGGAACTCATGAGGTTCACCGAATTCAGCACGACTGATCGTTCCGTTGAATTGTGAATCTGCGAACAAAAGAAACATTCCAATTAGTGAACATAGAGTCACGTGATACTTTCGCTTGGCTAGGCAAGTTTACACATTTTATTTCAGTTCTAGTCATATTTTCTTTTTATGTCATGAATTGCTTTGACTACTTTTATATTATATTTTTTAATCCGAGAGCTGATGAAGGCATTAGCTATTAATGAAAGATCAGATTTTATTTTTATATTCTATTTGAATAAAGTTTTTGTTCTTATAAAAATATTAATTATTTTTAAAATTATGACAACCTTTTTGATTCTACATATTTCTCTGATATAATTTTAATTTAACAAATCTACTTAATTCTAATATTTAATTCTACAATTCTACATAATGGTTATTAAATCTATTTCGTTGTTGTTTGTTCCGGATTAAGTACACAAATTATTAAAGAAGAATTTCATTAGAAATATTTAAAAGTTCATTGATTTATTTAAAATAAAATATACACTGCCTTCTATTAACTTAAATTTAAATTAACCATAAAGGACAAATATTAATTATTATACTTATTAAAAGCAGAAATTGCATAAGTTATTTGATAATAATTATATAAACTTAATATTTCACAAGTTGGATTTTTTGATTAGTTGGCGTACATGACAAAATATGTATGAAGTAGAGAACAACCTAAAGAGACGGAATTTTTAATATTTAAGAAAAAATTTTCATTTTATCTCTTTCTTTCTTCGTTGGACCATCGGTGAAGCATACTAGGTACAATTTTTTTGCAGATTATTTGATTATAAATACCACCTTATAGGTTTTTTCTATCCTATACACAATATTCTTAAAGTTGAAAATCATTGAGTCTTTTCAATATATCACTAAAACAAATTATCTTTTAACAAAATATATCGTTATTTATTGGATGATAAATCGACGAGATGATGTATATATATATATATATACCTTTTACTTTATGCTGTAAACTACCCGGCAATGTGTGGAAGTGAAGCGCATATTGAGCCGTAGGTTATAGCAATGTTAAATTTCTGCTACAAAATGTCAGAAATACACGTCTGAGGAGTGAAACGTAATAGTATTCTACTGACACTTGTGTGGCTGGGATTATATATGTATGCATTAGGTTCTTATTCATTGGAGCAAAAGGACCGGACACATAGGTGTTCCAATTCTGCCCATGCGAAACAAAAAAAAACAACAGATAGGAAGGGAGTTAGTTATGGATTTAGCGTGATATAACCACGGAATGCAACGAAACTCCATATAGTCCATGTCTAGTCGCTTAATGTTAATCCTGCCCATGCAAAGGCAGTATATTAATAATTAAAGCAGTAATATATAAAATCTGAATAGCATTTCAATAATATATTCAATAATATCAATTAAAATAAAAAATTATATATATATATATATATATATATATATATATATATATATACATATGTAAAAGTTGTGATCTGCGTAATGATATATATTCACTGTAGTAATATTATAATTTTACCTTCAGAATTCCATAAGCCTTGTTTGCATATTTTGACAACTGGCATTTTGATTAGTCTCTGAATCAATAATGCAAATATGAATTTCAGAATTAACTGAAAATATCATTTATATACGTTTCATCGTAAGCTTTTGAATGATTAATACTTCATTTATAAAGAACAAGAAAAGTTGAAAAAACTTAATTGTTTTTCATTTTTCTACAAGGAAATATATTTACTTTTTATCAGCTTTATAAAGTATTTATAAAGAGTTAAATCTGTATATTGCAATTTGTTTTTCTTCTACTACATTTATTTTACAATGTAGATAATTTATTTGGTATTTGCTAAAATTTATTATGCTTTAATCAATTTAAAATGTTTAAATTTATTTATAAAATCTGTTTTATATCGATCTCATTTTGTATACAAAAAAAAAATATCTTTATATAAATACATTTATTATTTATTTTTTTTTATGAATATTTTTTATACATAGAATATGTTTTTCTATTCATCTTTTTCAGTTTCTTTTTTTCAGTGTTATTTTTATTAACAATATTATTTTGAGTAATTATTTTTAAGAGCCCCAGAATAATATATGTTTACGTATCTAAACAATACGTTAATGTAAGCAAAACGATAATTCGTTTTAGTAATTAAATTTCACTCCAATTTCATGAAATGAAAATTAAGTTGGCATTTTAGAATAATTATATTAGTTCAGCGTTAAATGAATATATTCATTTCATTTATATCCAACTTTATGGGTTGCATAGACGGATTTGACGATTTGAAAAGTAATAATAATAGTTTCAAGTCAATTATAATTTATAAAAATATATTCAATAATTTTTTTAATACAATCTCATGTAAATTTATATCTCTTCGCGATTTGACCGCATATCCCTATTCTTTTCTCACATTAGAATATTAGAAACGAAAGTTTCTAATTGTATTAAAAGATTATTTGATAAAAAATACAAAGGTATATTTTATAATGTTTACCATATAAAATCTGTTAAAATATACAAATAAAATTTAAAGAAGGCAATCCTAGAAAATAAACTCGATATTTGTTTACGAAAAATATATTTAGTTTAATTCTGTTAAAAATCTGAATAATGAATTGTATTTTTTAATATATGAAGATATATATAATTTCATACAAATTTTTTCCAACATAATATTTACAATAATTATTGATAAATTTATTTTCAATTTTTACTGTTAGAATCAGTATATAGTCTTTAAAGATTTTTTGTAATATTTTATTATTTATTAGCTACACATATAGTTTAATTGACATATAGTTTATTTAATGCGACTGTAATACTGTCAAATCAATACAAAAATCTTCAAAATGTGTTATGCAAAAAGTTAAGTACAATTAAATTTTAATTAAAATTTAATAATTAAACAAATATGAATTATCTTCAGAATTTTTAAGCGAAACATCTAAAATATTACTTCGATACCTTCCATAATTTTAGTTATAAAATATCTAATAAAAATATATAAATTTATAATTAAATATATATTATCAAATACTTAATAAACTATTAAAAAAAAATCTGTAAAAAGTATTAAAAATCAGAAAATACATCTATATGATTAATAAATAATTGTAAGAATGCAACGATTTAACATATTGATGGATCGAAATAAGATAATTATAGTATTGAAATAATTTATTACAAACACTCAGAAAAAAAATAATTATTTTCATTCCATACATATAAATTTTCTCAAGTACGTAAAAATGAATGGCACATTTGCACAGAGAGAGAGAGAGAGAGAGAGAGAGAGAGAGAGAGAGAGAGTGAACAGTAATAATAAAATTATTAAATACATTATAGTTGAAAAAAAGTTCTATCTTCAAAATTTCATATGTCAATGCATTCTTTTAATATCTTGAGTGTAATTTAGTTAACACAAATAAATTCAATTTAATGAAATAAAAACTAAGTACGTCTACATTTAATAATATGCTTAAAAATATTATAATATTCCGTGGAGTTGGTTATTATTTAAAAAATCAAGTATTATTCTGTACTAAAGGAAATATAATAGTTATAATAATTAGAGTCATTATAATGGTGCAAAACGGAAAAATAACCACTACGATTTAGTCTGTCTACCGGTATTTTATTTCTTTCTACCTCCATATCCAACCCTTAAAATCCGAATTTGAACCTTGGGGCGTGTTAATCCCGGCAATGTAACGGCTAGCGAATGGTTCACAACTAGAGCCAAGTAGGGGAAGCGGAAAGTGTTTCTTGCGTGATATGACGTTCGTATGAGACAACCGGGGAGAGTTATTGTGAAAATCAAAACGAATGAGAAAAAGAGATAGAGAGAACTTAGGAATGACTTCCAGTGGGAACGGAGAGAAAGAGAGAGAGAGAGAGAGAGAGAGAGAGAGAGAGAGAGAGAGAGAGTGAGAGAATAAGAGAGGGAGAAGGAGACGGTGTAAGCGAGTAGCGAACGACAAGGGAAATAGTGGGAATAGTAAAAGCAAATTACCCTGAGAGTAAACGGTAAACGAAGGGTTCGCATCCAACTAATATACCACGGAAATTCATATTAATCACAATATATATCTATATATACATATTTTTAGATATATATTTCACCTATATTATATTTATAAAATATGTATAGTAAAAGATTGGGGGGGGGGACAGGTAGGTAGGTAGGTAGGTAGGAGGGGAGAATAAAGAGGAAGAGAGAAGACGATGAGGAGAAAGGTGAAATTGAGAACATTAGTTGGGCATCCTAACGGAGAATCTCAAGCAAACGCATTTGCACGGATTAACGAGACGACGATTCAATTTATATTGAATCACAATATAATTGATATAATCGTCATCTATGTTATGTATCTTTAAACGCCTTTATTTATAAATAATGAACATTGTTACTAACTCTCATATACGTATTAAGGCATTTCTCAATTTTTGAATGAAATAATTAAAATGTTAAAATTTTTAAATTAGCAATATACTCCATTACGATAGCATTGAAAATCCTTTGTATTACATTATGCAATTGTTTATAGTTATGAAGAAAAATAATAACAAATTAGTTTATTTTTAATTTCAATGTTTGCACATATGATTTTGTAAAAAGTTTCATCTTCTCTGTTTGCGTATATACTTTTCAAAAGCTGAGATATTACAGTCCAGAATTTCTTTTCACCGACATCTTTTTCAAACGAGAAAGTATGCATTCTGACTGAATCGTATATTTTATTATTGAAAAAATATTGCTGTTTGAATTGAATAATAAACTATTTACAAATAGAAACAATTCATAATGCACATTTATTTGAAATATACATTTATCGCATCTAATATTGAATTTATTATAAATTTGAAGAAATAAAAATTTGATAATTATATAATATTGAGTTTATTATATTAAGTTTTATAATAATAATTTATAATAATGAATATTTATAATAATGAATTTATTTTATGATGCTGACGGGCTGCTTTTTTAACTTGTGTTAATAATCGAGTTGAAAATATATTAAATGATAATATTGTCAGTTTAAAACTTGAAAGTAATAAGTTAATTTATAATTGCATATATTAATAATACAAAATTTTCTTTATTATTTATATATAAACGATAATAATCATTTGTTTTGAATAATAACAGAAATTATTAAGAAACTATCGTCAATTACATAAATTATCATATTTTGCGAAATGTATAATTATTATTTAGTATAAAAAAATTAGTAAATATTAAAAGTTTTGTTTAGATATATAATATACTAGATAATAGACTCCTGTGCTTTTATTTGAAAAATCTTACATTTTCTTTTATTTTTAATTTTATTTAATTGAGAAGTTCTATTAACGATTGGCGAAAACTATTCGGGCTTTGTAATTAAAATATCGCATTGTGAAGCGGTAAGAAATTTTTTCAATAATCTCATCGTAAACACGTATATGCAATTATTGTAAAAAATCAAGAGAAACTATTTGAAAAAAAAAATTGATAAATTTAAGTTTTCAATTAATATGATTATAGAGGAAAGAATAATAGTTGATGAACGTAATATAATAAACTTAAGCAAAAAATACTAAAATAATATTTCTCTTAATAAATGCACGTAATTATTATGCTAAGTAATAATTATTAAAAGGTCTCATTAATAACATCAAGAAAGTTCTAGAGAGAGAAGTTCTAGAGATTTAATTACCGTATGATGTTTAAGCCTTGTGCTCCATTACTTTTAATTAATAGCTTACATGCTCATTTTTTTTCTTTTTTTTTTTTTTCTTTTATAGAGAATTACGAAAACTATTCATAATCTACATAATTTTATATTAAAATTAATATGTCGGTTGAGTTTCTAAGCACATTTTATATTGAAAATTTTCATTTTATTTCATATATTTAAGGCTCAAATAATTGCCCCTTCATAGGTGATTCCCATTTAAAATTCCTAAAATATCATTGGTTCTTTCATTTCTATTTAAATAATTCATGAATGTTAATTATCAACATTTTCGTAAAATGAAGAAATAGGAAGATTATGTATCATAAATACCATGCGCGAGCAATATAAAATTAATACCCCATCGAGCATCATCGATTATTTGATTTCAAATAATTTCTCGGTCGATGGTCTTAAGTGATTACGCGCAAGTACAAGTTTATCAGCAGTTACAAAACCACAATAGAAAATACCGAACTGACCAAATGGACCGTGAGCCCTGATTAATATAACGGGATCCATAATCTCAGTAAAAAATAAACAAATTTTGCAATGTTAAATTATTTATCAAGCCCGCCCTAATTACATTTAACTAATACAATTACTAATTTCAGATCTAACGTCCCGTCCACAATTTATGAACACAGCCATGAATTTCGAGGACCTCTAGCGTGAACTATCATCCTGTTGACGGACGAAAGGTATACTCAATGGAAGGTGCCACGCGTGCAGAGATTCGCTCCACCTCCCCCTCCCGGCTCCGAACCCACCCCACCTAACTGCAGAATATAATAAGCGTAATATACGGCGGGTTCCATTGTCATCGTCACGCTTCGTTACAACAACCTCTGTATCTAAGCTCCGATGCTCGCGTCACCCATTCTCTTGAAATCGGAGCTCACTAGCCGCAGACTTTTATCAAGTCGCTGACGCCGCCGCCACCGCCACCGACGCTACTTTCCACGTCACGGCGAATCTAAACGTCGAGGGGTCTCGTTTTGCCCAACTACACACGCACGCGAACCTTCATTTCTCTCTTACTCGCTCGCTACTTCGCACTGGTATGCGTGTCTGCGTACGTGATTATCAGCCCATCGGCAGATGAAAGCCTTTGCCAATGTACAATGTATCTCTACGAGCGGACGAGTACATGTGTGTGTGTGTGTGTGTGTGTGTGTGTGTGTGTGTGTGTGTGTGTGTGTGTGCGCGCGCGTGTTTAAATCGACGCACGATCGTTTATACGATTATATGTCAATGTTACTCACGATATTGGCGAAACTCGTAGTATTATTATCGTGTGTATGAATCTTTATATAACTATGATTGATGTAAAAGGTAAAGTGATTCGTGCACGCTATGGACAAGCACGATAACGTATAATATAATAATCAATCCCGACTCTTTCGAATGTTGATACATTCCGATAGATCGTTAAAATTTTGAAAAATACATTTTCACGATTATTCATAGGCCGGATAAACAGGCGTTGGCTCTGTAATAAGCTTCTTCTTTCCGCTTTAGAATTATGAAATATTTTGCAATGAAATAAATGAGCGAGATAAATAAATAGGATTTAATCAATCACGAGGTTAATAATGCATAAATTTGCGAGTATCGTAGGGTAGCCGAGAGGTGCATAAAAATTATCGTCGACTGTAACGTCGAGCACTCGTCCACTCATAGTCATCATTATCATCATTATTATTATATCTTTAATATACGAACATCGGTATCTGCATTCGTAAAAGGAGCGTACCTGCGAGACAAATAACGAGGTTACTGGAGAAAATGAACTTACGTCGACGGTGACGCCGGGGAGTGTGAATACCAGTACCGGTGGCTTTTCCCGCGGTACATAGCGATAAAACTCGTTGCCATCCTTGTACCACTTGACCGAGTAGAGGATCACGTTGTCCAGATTGAAGTTGCACTCGAGTCGCACGTTCTGCCCGCGTATCACGTGCTGCGGAATCACGAGCTCCATCATTCTTAGTCCATCGATTTCTGAAAAATGAAAAAACGGTATACCTTGACTAATTTTATATATATACATCCTTCCATTTTTCTTTCCGCTCTATTATTTACGTCGCTCCTAACGCTTCTTATTCCACCCGTCTCGTCTCTCTCTCTCTCTCTCTCTCTCTCTCTCTCTCTCTCTCTCGTGTACTTTACACTCCACTCATATATATATATATATATATATATATTGCGTGTGTGCACTTTTTATCTATCTCATTTTCTTCGTCGTTCACTTGTGCTCTCTCACGTAATAGTGTGAGCTTCTTTTTAGATCACGTCAGCATAGTCTCGCGAATCTCTCACGCGACGCCTATTATACATGTGTGTGTGTGTGTGTGTGCGTGTGTGTGTGTGTGAGAGAGAGAGAGAGAGAGAGAGATGAAACGTGTAGGAGAAAAGCAAGCGAGATAAAACGATTTATTAAGGTTACGGACAGATAAGTCCTTATCTACTATTAGACTACGGTTACTAGCAAAAACAAAATTACATTAAACGTTATTCAAAGACTACTTATTGTTTGTTTTTGCTTTTGAACTACATTCAGTCCTAATATATTCTAAAATAAATGTAAAATTTCTATTTATCTTTTATTATTATTATTAAAGTGCTCGTGTAAACCATGTTTTTTTAATATTGTTTAAAAAATAAAGTTCTCAGACGAAGTATCATAATGTAAAATATGAAAAATATAAACAAAATTGTTGTGAATCGGTAACGCTCAGATCGTCCATACTTCTCAATATGATTCTTCGGACAAGTCTTACGGCTCATTTATTATCACATATTACGTACATTGATGCAAGTTTTTATGTAAAATGATTTATTTCAAGAGTAATTAATGCAAGTAATTGAGAAATAACGAATTGGATTTTTTCATCAAAGCGTATGAAATATTTGTTGTAACCAGTATTAGTAAATTTTCTATCTTTAATTTTGCTCTATAAACTAACTGAAATTTTGAAACAATTCCCTATCTCATGGATATAATTTATAAAATACATTAGCATGTAATGTACAAGGATTTATAAAATTATAGTTAATTTATTCGAGCGAAACCACACATCAGAAATAAATATAAATCCTATAAAAAGCAGAACTTAGGGCGTTTACCTCAATACTAATTACATTTGCTTTCTAATCGAAAGCTACTAATAGCGCTCAATCATCATCTTTAATCTATTCAGTTAATGCTTATTTCTAATTTATCAAGTTGCGAATAGTCGCAACTCTTTTATATCATTCCAACAGTATTATTGGTGATGAAGAAATATAATATGCTGACAAAATATACTGGGACTTACCAACATCATCATCATCATCATCATCATCGAGTCCTACTTGACGCTGTACTTTTTTACTTTCACTTTTTGGATTATATCGAGGGATTTATCAAGAGAAACGACTTTGGGGATGATTCACTCGTATATTTCCTAGTGATGATAGTAAGTACGGATTTCCCGTACAGTATCTCATCTTTCTTTTCCTTTGACAAAAGAGAGATTTTTATATTCTCTTTTTCTGCTATTCGTATCATTGGTGATAAACACTTTATGTCACTCATTATTGCATGTCTCGTCGACTATTTTCTCTATAATACTCAATTTTATCCATTCAATTCGATAATAAATTATACGCATCAGTATGAACGAATAAAACGTCAATAAATATTATAAAATGTTATAGGTTATTATTATGCTAATGAATTAAAATGAATTAAAATGAATTAAAACATTGGCAAAGCACATGACTTCGCGCAACAACAAATTTATATAATTCACATCACAACGATAAACAATTTTTTCTTACTTTTCACAAAAAATCCTGTGGCAACTCTATTTCTAATTAATTATTTTAGGATACATTATTTGTTATTTATAATCACAATATACGTAATCTCATATATAAATGTTAATGATAAATCAATAATATTTAGCAGGTACGAACATTTAGATTACCAATTTATTTATCCTTACACTTTTTTTTTCCATTTTCTTGTTTATTAATGCATAAATAATATTTATAATTATAATAATCTTATGGTATAATTTTTTATAGATGCGTTTTAATAAAGAATTTTCAGTTTAACTTTAACTCATCAATTATTGTTTCTTAGTCAATTTTACAAAAAATCCAATGAAAAATTGTAGATTTATCCATTATGGTAAAATCTATTTTTCTTTTACTGTATCAAAGCAATGCAAACGTGGACGAATAAGTTTTAATCTTTAAAACAGCTAATGAGAATGATATTATATATCATGATAAGGGTTGAATAATATTCGGAGAGATAAATTTACCTGACCTCGGTACGTCAATCTCTTCATGTGGTTCGCTACCGGCCACATACCCCAATGGAATATATATAACCTTCTATGCTTGAGCACCGCTGTCCAATTAACCGTACAAGTACAAGTGTCAATTAGAAGGGCATCACAAAGTAGAAAGTACCTTGCTAGATAAATTGTTGAATTCCAATTGACTGTGATCGCACTCTGCCACTGCCTCGCATGTCCACAATAAGATAAGATAAGATAAGAACATTTGCTTTATAGGCCTATTTATTTTTGAAATTTGTACTTTAAATTTCCTCGAGGGTGCTTGTCTATCGAAAACGGTGCGGTTTTTATTCAGATGGATTATTATTCAGGTGGATTTGAGATGAAAATGCGAGAAAATTGAATGTTAATTATTTTGATCGTCATTCTATTCGTATTCCATTCATTTATCGCGAATAAATAATATTTATATTTCGATAGTTCAACGATATATCGAATTTTATTATTCAATTTTAATTATAATTGATAGATAAATAGATTTTTATTTTGCCATTGAAGCATTGCACGTACAATGAATAATCAGTTTAATCATATATTCCATATCACTAAAGATATCATATGCACATTTACAATGGCAGTTTAGAGAATAAAATATCACCTATTTAATAAGAATTAATTTACTTTTAATTAATCAGACATTTCACTTTTAAAAGGCCTAATAGCTGTTATTTAAAATCAAATTTTTAATTAAGTATACATAATTAATAAAGATGTCGTTGATCATCATAAAACAATTTGCGGAATTTCCATTTAATAATTTGGAACATTTGATTTAAAATTTATTTGAATAACAAATATTTCATTAATTGTACTTATGGAACATATTGCATAAGTAAAATTTTGCTGAGAATTCAATAAGTAACAATCTATTGAGAATGGGCTATTTACATGTCATAAACTTTAATTAAATTAATGAAATTTTTGTATTATTAATCTTATTCATACACAGTATTTATTTTTTATGAAAAAATCATCTTTCAAAAATAATTAAAGTTGCTTTCAAATAAATATAATATCAAATATAATATTTATATTTAATTAAAGTATTTTTTAGAAAATTTAGTTGGCAATGACATGCTTATGATGCTGCTGTCACTCAATATTGAAAAACTATGGTTATATGTAGTTGAAAAAAATTTTAATTATAAACAATACCTGGTTTTATGACCAATCAGAGATGAAAAATTCTAATGTTCAAGGCATATCTATGATGTATCATTGAATATCAATTTCATTGACGAAAAGTTGATTGAAGCAACTACTTTTAATAAAAAGCAGTAATTTACTGATTAAGACAAAATATATGTTGAAAAAAATCCGAATATAATTAATTCCTAAACTGTGGTATTTTTAACTTGTATGCATTTTCCTTAGCTAATATATTCTATTTTAAATCTTAATTCGCAGTTCAATGAATTTGATGCTCAATTATAAATGCGATTAAACAATAAATAAATCATGGCAATGACAAATAGAATTTTTTTATGCATAATTTTGCTTAATTTTGAGTACTTTACAATGAGCCAACATTCCATTATAATTATTTTAATGGCTTATAAATGAAATGAGATGCAGTAATTCAAAAATGACTGAATCCATTGCAAACTTCATAACTTCAATAATTTTCGCTCGATTCTGCCCAAAAGAGGGTTTGCATCACAAACAAACTTTAATCTAACCCATAAATTATAATAATTCAATTAGAAAGGAAAATTCCTTGCGAATTCCAAAAAGCCACGCAGTTGAGATAGTATATTCCTTCTTACCAACTCACTCGCTCTTTTCCTGCAGTTTCTTCCCCAATCCATCTCACTTCGATCGTCTTCCTCTCACTCCCAAGCGCACGCGTAAAAGGGGACGAAAGTTTTTGGTTGCTGCGGAGATATTCCTATGCGTGCTTCGAAGCCCCTACATAATGCAGAGAAGAAAGAGCTTTTCGATGACCTACTTTGGAATTATTTTTCGCGCTTGCGAGAAAATGATCCTCTTCTAACTCTCTCTCTCTCTCTTTCTCTCTCTCCCCCTCCCCCCCCCCCCCCCTCTTTCATTATCTATCTATCTATCTACCTATCTATCTATCTATCTATCTATCTATCTATCTATCTATCTATCTATCTATCTATGTATAACATCTATTTATCCACATATATAAACATATCACTTTTTTATTAATCGTTGCAGTGCCTTTTAATTCTTGATATTTTCGGCGACCTTATTCTTTTTTTCTTCTTATTTTTCTTTTAATAAGAACGCTCTTAAGTTTTTAACCGAGTTTGACAGGGCTTTATTTCTTTAACTGATTATCCTTTTAAATGTTTGTCTCATTATCTTCATATCATAGCAGATAGTCAAATATTGTGAAAAGATGTTATGGATTAAAACTTCTAAAGGAGTATTTAGAGTACAGTGTTTTAAGTCTTATTTACTGCATTTAGTAATTAGATGATATAATTACCGTAAGATCATATAAAATAATATTATATTAATGGTTAATAATCAAGAATTTTATCATTAATTTATAGTTAGACTTTATTCGTAAAGCGTAATGTATATTTTTGGACAATGTATTTGTTACTTATTTTGTTGTTTAACAATTTTATCTTTATATTACATAAATTTCATATCTTATGGAAATACATTAAGACGTGGAATGAAGATAGGCTTAGCATTATTTCAACTAAAAGTGTTCATGTATTTTTAGTTAACAAAATAGTTGTTTATTATAATTATACTGTTGTAGACATGTATATTCCAATTAATTTAACTATAAATAAATTAATTAATTATTCATAAGAAAATAGAGACATACATACTAAAATGAGTTTACTTTTTTCACGTATTTAATAATAAGTTTAATCGTTGTGAAATAAATTTAGGAGATATAAAATTGTATTTAATTTACAATTTTTCGAATATGATAGGGTAAATAATTACGATTCTATAAAACTTAGTCTTTAAAATATAATTTATCCATTGCTTTCACATTATAAGAATTTGCATTTTTATTCTTCACTGTATTTTAAATCGAAATTATTTTCACATTTTTCTAAAGTATAAGCTGCGTATTCCGATACCTTGCTCGCATTGTCGATTTTTTAAATAATATTTATTATTCATTTTATTTATCTCTCTTATATTAAATTAAACAATATTAAATATAAAATTGAAAAAAGAATAAAATCTTTCAGATACACAATAAAATTAATAAAGTTATTCTCCATAAATCAACATTTTTTTTTTCTTGAATTTTTTTTCTAGAATCCCCTGGAATCTGAGTACGTTATAGACGTACAATGTGCTATTAATTACACTATCGTCTATTTATAATTATTATTTAAACTTATTTCAAGTATTGTTAATTAAATAAAACGCTATTGGTTAATTTAATTACATTATGTCGTTTATTTATAAATTTATGTTCAGTTTATTTATAAAGTTATTTCAGTACTTAGTGTATTGTTTATTAAATATTATGCGAAATTACTTGATTATTGAATGGAATATTTCAATTATACAAGTGCAAGAAATTTAATGGGAGAAAAAGTTCTTTTAATATTGAAAAATATATTGAAAATGTTCGTAAAAATAGGAAATTTAAATATATTAATTAAAAGCTATTACGATATTTATGAACCAAAATAGCCTGAAAATAATCACACTTATGAATTAAATAATTATTCCAATGCAATGAATAAATTTTGATAATCTCGTTTTGATAATATTTATATATAATTGTTATATATAGCAGTTTTAGCATATTCTGATTGTTATCTTTTAAAGTATAGAGCTACAGTGGTAAATTTAATATTCAATTTCTTAAGAATATAGGTAGAATGGCTTCAAGGAATTAAAATATTTATCAAATTTTTCTAATTTATAATAATGAAATTACAACAATAGAGTAATATTTTAAAAAAAAACTTTGATTATTTGTTCTTAGTTACCATTTTTTACTACTAATATTTAAATAAATATTTTTAATTAAAGTTATGCATGGGAAAGAAAAAAAATTATAAATATAATTTATAAAAAATATATTTTATATTATAAGTATATTATATAATTTCTTTATAAAAATAGAAGGAAGTTATTAATTTTATAGTCTTTAAGAATCAGGTTATAGCTAATCAGAATAAATGCTAAATTTAAAAAGTTTTTCGTTATTGTTAGATATTAGGTTTTCAATATATAAATACTTAAGCATAAATAGCCTTAAATTTATAAA